AGCAATACTTAAAATTATCATTCCATTTAGGTAACCTTCAGAGCACATTCTTTTAAATACATAGGTATTACCTTGTTGTTGGTCTATTAATCTGCAAGTACCTATTAGATTATTTTTAACATTTCTGTTAAATAGTTTTTTGTAAATTAAGTCGTTTTGATCTATATCATGTCATAAAATTTCATGACATTCATAGTTGCGAAGTCTTTCATAGCAACAACCATGAAATTGAAAACTTTTCTGGTTACAGTTTTAATTTTGATCTTCGTCAAATGTTCTGACCAAGCAGTTAAATTTTTGAATTGTGTTATCTTAATTGTAAATTACAATTTCTTTTTTTATTGTTCACAGGATCCCATGAAAATAATTGTTAGCAAAGTGGAAGAAACTCATAACAAGTATATGCTTGACTTCAAACATTCTTTAAGAATTACTCAAAATTTCACAAGTTATATAAGCATTAACTTGACATTGCTTGTGAAAATAGACTCGATGTACTTCCATTATTCGGTTGATCTTCCTAATGCTAGTGGAAAAATGGTTCCTTTTATCAGGAGAAATGGAATGAACTTGTGCAACTTTTTTAAGGAAAAAAAAAGAAATAGCATTTTAAATTCGTTTTATAAGAACAATAATTCAACCTCAAAACGGATTATGGAGTCATGTCCAGTCGAACCAGGATTTTATTTCATCAAAGATTTCGATGCCGGTGAAAGATTGATGCCATACGCAGTAACAGAAACCAAAATTTTTATTGCAGTCGATATAAAAACAAAGGCTAATGGGAAAATGGTTGATTTATTCAATTACAAAATTCAATATGAAGTTAAAACTCTTGACAAGTTGGAAAGAGAAAGAAAATGACAAAAGAAAGTTTGAGCGAAATGAATGAATGAAGAAGTTAAGCAAAGTTAATTCATTCATGAAAAAATTTTAATCTGAAATTTTGTTAAAATTGACTAACTTTTCAGTTAATGATGATTAGTTTAGTTTCAGATATTTATATGTAAGCAAGTTTTTTGCTAAATACATAATGGAAAATTATTGTCCAACAAACATTTGTATCTAATTCTTTCAAAAAACTTCAAGATTGATGAAGAATTAATTTTATTCAAGTATGAAAGAAAATGGAAAACTTTATAAAAATTTCATAAAAATTG